ATCTAAGTTAACTTAATTGTACTTAATTATAATTATGGTTTAATTTCAAATTTTAAGTTTACTTACATCTAGAGTTTTTTTTCTTTCTAACTTTTCTCTCATGTTCTCTCTTATGTTTCTTTCTTTACCTTTTCAAATTTTTATATTTCATCATCCGTGGAAGGTTGAAGGTTGAAGATTAATTATTAATCTCTTTATTTACATTTTTCTGTATTTTTCTTATATTTTATTTTTATATTTCCTGTTTTTTATCTGAGTTTCTGTTTTTTTTAATTTACTATTTCTATTTTTCATTTTCTATTTGTTTCTATTTGTTTTCTCTCTTTTGTCTTTTTATGTTTTTTTTTTCATTTTTATATTTTAACACAGTTCTACTATTTCTTTTCAAGTTTTATTTTTGATTTACGCGATTTTTTATATTTAGAGCATTTATTCCCCTAGTTAATTTCTCCCGAATTGATTTAGGTCAACTTTGAATGTATCGTGCTGTTATACGCTTCATTTAATGCATTCAGGGTAAAGAAATGTTACATTAATATATATGAATTTTTTACATTTATTTAATATTATTATTTTTATTTTTTATCATTTAAAAAATATATATACAATTTATTTTTTTATGACTATTTTACCTATTTTAATGTGTGTTAGATGATGATTATCATTTAAAAAATATATATCCAACGTCCATCACCACTAAACTCATACCTTGGCTGTTAGCAAAAGTTTCAAGGCAGGTTTCATCTTCCTGTGTAAGGAACAAAACCATACAGTGTGCATTGACTTGGTATGATTACCATTAGTTGCCAATGAGTTCTATCATGAATCACAAATAGTGAGTTGATTAATTAAGTAAACCTTCATAAAATTGTAGAATGAGTAACACATACCTATCAATGTATGACGCGATGTACATGTCTCTTTTACACTCAACCATCCATGTTTGCAAATATGATTGCTTGAATTCAATTGTGTTTCCAGAAGGTTGAATGCTTTGAGGTTCAAAAAAATCCATACATGAATGCTCGACCTTGGTCCACCATGATGGTGTCCATTTACCTATAACAATAAAGTTGAGTGAATATATATATATATATATATATATATATTAAAAAATAACAATTTGAATATTTAAATATGGAAGACAATGAAAAATCTTACATACACTATAGTTGTAGGATTAAAATATTTAACATCATTTCTCCACCAATGACCTCTATCATTTAGAGTAATATACAATGGCACATGACATTGACAACCAAATACTCTTAACTCCCACTTCAGCTCTATCGGTCCTTTATTCAACCTGTATAATTTTGTCATTAGTTTTTCTAGAGGGTCATCCTTTACTTCTGCCATGTCATGATCCTTGGATCACAAGTTCATGTATGAGTTACTTCTCAAGACGGAATAATTGAAATAAACATTTTAAAAGTTATGAATCATTTATTTCTAACTTAGACATAAAAATATTAAGAATAACAATATAATATCTGTCGTGGGCCAAAATATGGCATGATCAAAGCTTTAGGCCAAGCTATAAATGTGCCTAATGCCTCCCCACGAATTGAATTTCAGAAGTTGGCATAAGCACTTGAGTGTGGGGGTCTTGGACTTCATCAATTGTCACATGCACGTTGTGGGGCACCATGAATAGTGTGCCTTCCTACAAGTTGTTGTCTTACGGCCACTATGCATGGGGATCTCCATCAACCAATAGCTCATACTGACAAGTGTAGTTAGTATGATATGCAATAGACATGAACATTTGGTGCTCACATGACATCCTATTGGATCTTCAGTGGGGAGATCATCATTTTGCTGGGTCATGGATTGAAATATTTCTTCAAGTGCTTTTTGTATTTCTTGTTGTTGTTGGAGGCCTTCCATGAAGTGTTGCTCCATAACAGTCATGCGTTGGTTTAGTTTTCCCTCCATTTGAAGCTCCAACTTCCTCATACCTTTTGACTCAAGGAATTTGTACTTCTCTGTGCAAGTTCAAAGTAGTCTTTCAAGCCAATAACACCTCCAACGCCACGCACACGACTTAGGTAGTCTGGCTTTCCAGTGGCTGTTATGAGAATACTCTCCCTACCTTAGCTAACATATGAACCCTGAGTTTGTTTCTCAACTAACTCATCCTACATATCATAATGAAGTTTGTTACATAAAATTCAAATGAACTATGGTTTTAGGTTTAGAGTTTGTACTTACAATTCTTTTTTATATCTGTTGAGCTCATTGTGATGTATTTTGATCATCAAACTTAGTCTATGCAGTCTCCCACATCTCACACCTAGCAGGTGGAGGTGCTAGGTCAAGGGACTTAATTCCTAAAGCCTTGGCACGAGACTTTCCCATCTTTTTCTTTAATAATGCATAACCACCATGTGAGAGTACGTGTGATGCATCATTAAGTCTTTCTCTCTGTTGGAAAACAATCCTTTTTTTCCTCTCAAACCATAAAAATTAATAAGTTTAAGTAATAAACGAATGCCTTGTATGACTAGAACAAAATATTAGGAAATAAACTTGTCAGTCCCAAGATTCTCTAGTTACTCTAAACTGCATCCACTCCACCTTAGATATTTTATACTTTCCCTAAGGAATGTCCCTATCTGATTGCAATATGGGGTAAGACTTTCTTCCTTATTTTCTCATTATTAGGAATATCAAAATTTTGTTGTTATTAAAAAAAAGATGTTAATGATTAAAGTAAAAACGTATTAAATAATGTATCTATTTTAAGTAAACATATCACAATATCCTTCCATAGGAGGTTCTTCTCCATCTCCGGTACGTCATCCCAAGGAGACATGTGTTTTGCTAACATGCTTAAATAACTCCGAAACTTTTCTGCATATGCGCCTTTAAGTGTACCAAATCAAGGATTAATCTCCACCACTAACCTCTCCATGAAAATTCGTCGGTATATGACATCAAGCAACTGAGTCACATATCTACCATGTCCATTCTTTCTTGATCAAGAGCTCGTCATACTTGAAAACATAGTGTTAGTAAATCATATATATAAAAACCAAATTATCTCTATAAAGTTAGAATAAACAAAATAAAGAAATTGTAAAAGTGGAAAAAATAATAAAAATACACCTATTAGGATATTGTTTTCTCTCATATGTAGTCATTGAATCACTTCGAATTGCATGGATTTCATCGATTATGTCATCGACCTTATTTTCAATGGTTCTTGATGAGAAAGATGTTGTCTCAAGTACATCAATATAGTCTTCATCATCATTTATATGCATGCTTCTACCTTCCAATATCACTGATCATTTCTCATTCGTTGATCAATTACATATAATATTTGTGTTGCTTGACTAGTCATAATAAATGGTTCATCTGTATCACTCATCTTGTTTTCAATGGTTCTTGATGAGAAAGATTTTGTCTTAAGTATATCTATATAGTCTTCATCATCATTTATATGCATGCTTCTACCTTCCAATACCACTGACCATTTCTGATTTGTTGGATTAATTACATAGAATATTTGTGTTGCTTAACTAGTCATAATAAATTGTTCATCTGTATTACTCATTTTTGTTAAGATCCACCAAAGTGAACCCAATATCATCTATCATTACACCCGAATTGCTATCAACTCATTTACACTTGAAAACTGAAACTCTAAAACTAACATAATAAACTCATCTCTTGTATTATTCCGAAATAACACATGAATGTTGTAATTGTATTTTTATCCTTAAAACTAGCAGATTGTACAACCTTAGCCTGTAGGATAACCTCATTATTTTGAACTCTACTTTTTGTCATCTTCCTACTTTGAATAGAAATAATAATTGTTTGATATTTTAAGCTAAGATGGTACATGAAATTAAAGGACGGATGAATGTTTATACTTATCTTTCTAGTGTCTTTTTCTCTTGTGATTTTTCTCGATGCTTGTTGGTTCTTCCTTCTTTTTCCTTTCGTCTTTTGTGTCCATTATCTTGGCATTATGGTAGGAGTTTCTCTTTTATTGTCCATATGCAAGAAAAATGATTTGATTATTTGGTACTATCTAGAGTTGATTCCAACCTTGTTAGTTTTATTTGTTCTTTTCTTTTCAAAATTAGACTTAACATTAAATACTAATACACTAAGTTGCAAATACTAAAAAAATAATTAAGGACTAATTTGCATTCATTAAGAAAATATAAGGATCAATTTACAATTTTAAAAAAATTTTAGGAACTCATATACAATTATAAATAAAATATTAATGAAAACATCTAAAATATTTCATAATATATTGAGATATTTATAATTCTTAAAATATCGAAAAACAATTAGTAAATCAAATAATAAAAAAATTATATACTACTCATTCTTTGGAAAATATAATTATAACAAGAGACATATCACTCATAAATAAGAAATGGTAAAAAAAAAATATTAATTTTAATTTTTCTAATTTAAAGTCGAGGAATCTCTAGAACATCTATAAACAACGTGAACCAAATATTTAGTCAGACACCATTCTTATGCGTCTAAATCTCTTCGCTTTGTTATGACCAATGCACGTGACCTCTCAAGATACCTTCATCATATTTGAAAAGTTCGCTGGCTAGGAAACTTCGTAGGGTCAACATTTCATTACATTAAATCATAATTAATTAAAAGTCAAAGTAATGGTTTTATGTCCATATTTTTTAACATATTTACAACACTTCGTATAATTATTAAATTTATTATTGGATTAAATTATAACTAAATCTTTGGAAATTCAACTAAGAAACAATCACTATAAGAAAGTTGTCATCAATGATTTCAAGGAAACAAGATCGCTTATTTCCCACCACACAAGCTTGAGCTATGTACAAAACCAAAGAACTAATTTATTAATTTACAATTATAAACTTCAAATTGAATAATACAAATAAACAATTTCTCTTAAGAAAAAATGGTGGGGCCTTCTATTTTTTTTTCATTTTATTATTATTATTATATTTCCAGCACCCAAAAAGGAACATCAATTATTCAAGTTGGTTGTTGCACATTGATTGCTGTTCGTCCGAAACAACAATTGCGTCCGCATCCCACCAAGTATCCGCGTCAGACTCCGTCACGTTGCCTAACGGCGTGCTGACATTTCTCATGTCCCCCACCGTCACGCCGTTACGTCCGTCATCTCTTACATAAACCTTCTGCACGCCGCCAGATTCCACGCGCAGGGTCTTTCCCACGGTGGGCCCCCACTCCGCCACCACCGTCGGCTTCCGACGCCGCAGGCGCGTGTCCCAAATTTCCACCGCCAGATTCCCGCACGCGCCCTCCCCGGCCGAGACCATCACCGCGGGTGACGCCGTGGAGCTCGCGGGGTCGTAAGTCGAAACGACGCCATCCTCGTAATCATCGAAATCTAATCCCAGCCCGAAGCCTATGCTGTCCCAGAGCTTCACGACGCTCTTGCTGTTGGCGAGTTCTGAGAGGGAAAATATATCTCCGATGCTACCACGTCGTTTGTGCGTGCCGTTTTGGGTCTGGAACTCGTCGTTTTGGTTATCGTCGTTATCGTCGGTACCTCTGACTCGGAAATAGTCTTCCAAACGAATGAAGCTGGAAGACGCGGAGGGTTCGTCTTCGTACTCTGACGACGAGTAGGTTAAATCGTCGTCGTTTTCATAGTCGTCGTCGTCGTCAGTGGAGGAGTAAACGTCGTCGTATTCTTCGATTGAGGGAAGAGAAGGGGCTTTGGTGCGGAAGCGAATGATGAAAATGGTGATTCTGTTGATTATGCTGCCGAAGGTAGCGACTAGGGCAAGAATCACTGCGCCCCATTTGCAGAAATTGTATGCTATGGAAACGGAAGCGAGGGAAGTTGTGATCTGAGAAGAAAAAGATGGGGTTTGCAGAGAATTTAAACCCACTTGAAGATCGTTGATCCTGTCTATCAAAGGAACTTGCATGATTGCGTTACTGCAACAGAGAAAGAAAAAATTGAGATTTTGAGGATCCTAGACTGAAAGCTGCGGAAGAGAAGAGGGGAAGTTGTAGCAGAAAATCGAGTGATTTATAGGCAAACATGAGTAAGAAACTAGTTATGTGGTACTGGGTTTAAAATAAATATATACAAAGTAATTTGTCTGAAACATGTTTAATTTATAATATTAAAACTAAATATCGAATTAATGTTATTTATTTCTTTTAAAATAAATATTAAAAATTTAAAATAATGACTTCAGATTTACAAGTATAAAACTAAAAAGCACACATATTTATAAAATGATAAATTATTATTTCAAAGTTTATAATGTATTTTCTTATACAAATAAAAGTAAAATTTATTAATTTTAAAAATTTACTAAGGGGGCATATTTAATTTTCTACAAGTTGGAATTAATTATGCCTCATGTCTTCTCTCTTTTTTTTTCCAAAACAACCGCGTCTATCAAACATGTAATTAATTTATTAGATATTTAAATAACATGTATTTGATGGAAATCAAGCTTCAACTGAGTTCGTATAACTAGAAAATAAAATAATGGTTGCTTGTCGGAAGGATATTTAGGCAACAACAAATTATCCAAGGAAGTGGCATAAATAATACGTAATTTTCTTTCTTTAAGTATGTATTTAGATTCAATACCTAGACTATATTGAAGTGATAATTTTAACATCGTAAATATATTTTTAATTAAATAATAATGTATAATAAAATTATTTTACATCGTCAATATAAAATCATTAAACTCGTTTTCAATGCTTTATTTTTTATTCAACTTATTACGGTGAAAATATCATCAGTGTATTTCTTTATTGCATTCATTTAAAATTGATCTTTTTAACAATATGCAATTATGATAGAACGCACTAAATCATGAGTGGTTTTAATAGGAAATGAGTGACATTTAAATTTGATTTATTTTTAAATAATAATACTAAAGAATTTGAAAAAAAATGATATTGTTAGTAGGGTTGAGGAGAATGATGTGCCACGTAAGAAAAGAGAATGCTTTTTGGAGGACAAGAGATTGGGACGGTTGAGTCAGCAAAAGCCCAAAAACAAGTGTGGTGGGTCCCACTCGAACGAAAAGGTCACTTCTGAGGCTTAAAATTTGTGGTGGTTAGGTTTCCCCTGTGACATTCCAGTGCAGTTACGACACGTGGCGACAGGTCATTGCTCTATCAGTGTTTTGTTTTATTTTTAATTTAAATTGTTTTCGAGGTGGTCAGTTTTCAAGGTTCGTCGTGTTGTGCAGTGGTTGAGTATTTGTTTTGCTGTC